AGTCTATTGAGCACCCTACAAATTAGTGCCTAACTATTCCAATGTGTAGGGATATGCATGAGTAGGTTAATGCATTTAATCAGCCAAAGTAGTCATTTTCTCCATACTCTATTACCTACAATCCGAGATGGCGATAACAACTCAACTTTAATCAGAGATCCGACAACATTGCCTAACCTCAATAATACCCTCCTACCATATATCAGCCATCACCAAATTATGTTGGTCTTTTTAATGCTCAATAAGTCCCTTCGCAAGAACCTTCACATCAAGGGTTTGTTCAGAACCCAACACTATCACCATAGCCTCAAGCTCAAAGGTTTGGCCATTAGGGCTAACCCATAGTATCTCCTCACCAACTAACCCACAAAAAGAGCGTTGATGACTTGTTACAACAATACATTCAGGATCATAATAACATCAACAATCAAAATTCTTAGGTTTTGAATGAACTTAGGTCACAAATCACAAACATTAGCATGACCTTAAGGGAAATGCAAGGAAAATTCCTTACTCAATCCTAAGAGAACCCCAATGGTCAACACATGATTGAGACCTTACAGAATGTTGAACAGCTGAAGTCCATTACTACTCTTAGGAGTGGTAAACAAGTAAATAAGACTATCCCACCAAAGGTCTCTAAGCCTACAGAAAAAGAGACTCAGGTGATCTTAAGAAGACTAAGCTATCTAACATTGTTAATAATAATTGTCCTATCCCTACTACTTACCCTCGTAGACTTTGTATGCTTGCTAAGTTATCTAATACAACTAAAGTTCTTGAGATTTTCAAGCAGGTCAAAATTAATATTCCTCTTTTAAATGCAATTAAATAAATGCCACCTTATGCCAAGTTCTTGAAGGACTTATGCACAGTAAAGAGAAAGATAAATTTGCAAAAGAAAGCTTTCCTTGCAGAGCAGGTAAGCTCCATCATAAGTACGAACATTCCACCCAAATACAAAGACCCCGACTATCCTTCCATTTTAATCAGCATTGGGGACTACTGGGTAGAGAAAGCACTGCTAGATTTGGGTGCAAGTTTGAACCTTCTTCCATATTTCGTATATGTGCAGCTTGGATTAGGAGAATTGAAGCGACATCCATCATACTTTAACTTGCTGACAGAAGTGTAAAGATACCATGAGGAATACTGGTGAATGTTCTAGTCCAAGTGGAGAAATTTTACTTCCCAGTTGATTTTATTGTTCTTGATACTTGTTTTGTTGCTAACTCGTCTGTTCAGATCCCTATTATTTTGGGCCGACTATTCCTTGCAACCTCTAATGCCTTAATTAATTACAGGAATGGATTTACATAGCTGACCTTGGGGAATATGACCTTGGAGCTGAACTTGTTCAACATTGGAAGACAGTTCAAGGATGATGGAGAGGTGCATTAGAAATATGCTTATTTGGGGAATGATGGTACTTTCCAATGATGGTCAATTCATCCTTGTGACCTAAGCAAGAATCAAAGCTATGGTCAATTCATCCTTGTTACCTAAGCAAGAATCAAAGCTACTACAATTGTTAAAGGCCCATAGAGGAGCTATTGGGTGGACCATAGCAGATTTAAATGGGATCAACCCTCTAATATGCACCCATTGGATCTACATGGAAGAAGATGCAAAACCTTCTCGCCAACCACAATGGCTATCTAATCCTATAATGAAGGATCTGGTTAGAACTGAAGTGTTGAAGTTGCTTGATGTAGGATTTATCTTTCCCATTGCTGATAGCAAGTGGGTAAGTCCTACATAGCGAGTCCCTAAAAAATCTGGAGTCATTGTGCTTACTAATCAGAAGAATGAGTTAATTCCAACAAGAACAGTGACCGGATGGAGGATTTGCATTGTTTACAAAAAATTAAATTCATGTACCAGAAATGACCATTTTCCATCACCATTCCTGAACCAAGTCTTGGAACATGTTGCAGTGCGTTCTACTACTTTTTAGATGGCTATTCAGGCTACAATCAGATCGAGATAACCCTTTAAGATCAAGAAAAGACAAATTTCACGTGTCCTTTTGGAATGTTTGCCTGCAAGATGATGACATTCGGGCTATGCAATGCCCAGACACATTTCAGAGGTGCTTGATGGGGACTTTCAAGGACATGGTGGAGAAAATAGTTGAGGTTTTTATGGACAATTTTTTAATTTTTGGGGATACTTTTGAAGGTTGTTTAGAAAATTTGGGAGTTGGTGCTTTAGAGGTGTGAATATAAAAGATTGATGCTTAACTGGAAAAATTGTCATTTTATGGTGACTCAGGGGATAGATGTGGATAAGGCTAAGGTGGAGTTGGTTTCTAACCTCCCTACTCCAAAGACTGTTAAAGATGTCCGGTCATTTCTTGGTCATGTCGAATTTTATATGTGATTCATAAAGGGTTTTGGTGCTTTGACACAACCTTTATGTCATTTATTGGTCAAGGATGTTCCTTTTGAGTGAACAGATGATTGTGAGACAACTTTCAAAAATCTTAAGAATATGCTTATTTCACTTTCAATCATGCAACCATCCAATTGAAAACTTCCTTTTGAGCTCATGTGCGACGTGAGTGATTACGCGGTCAGGATAGTGCTGGGTCAACGACAGGACAAGAAAACCCACATCATCTACTATGCTAGCAAGACCTTGAATGAAGCTTAGATGAACTACGCTACCACTGAAAAGAAATTGCTAGCAGTAGTTTTTGAACTTAATAAATTTAGGTCATACATTATAGGATCACCTATTGTTGTTTATACTGATCATGTTGTTTTGAAGTATTTGATAACGAAGTAGGATGCAAAGTCAAGGTTGATTAGGTGGATCCTTCTCGTTCAAGAGTTTCACATTATTATCAAAGACAAAAAAGGAGTGGAGAATGTAGNCAGGATGCAAAGTCTAGGTTGATTAGGTGGATCCTTCTCGTTCAAGAGTTTCACATTATTATCAAAGACAAAAAAGGAGTGGAGAATATAGTGGTCGATCATTTGTCGAGGCTTATGATTGAAGACACAAACACTCACATCCCTATTCTTGAATTTTTTCCAGATGAGCATTTATTTGTTTTGAATACAATTGTACCATGGTATGCTGACATTGTGAATTATCTTGTTACAAGGCAGCTACCAAGTCAGTGGAGTCCAAAGGACAATAAGATATTCTTGGTTGAGGTGAAGCAGTTCTACTTTGACAATCCTTATCTGTTCAAATATTGCCTTGACCAAGTGATGAGGATATGTGTGCCCGATGAACAATAAAAGACGTGATTGCTTTTTTCCATTCAAAAGCTTGTGGAGGCCAATTCTCATCCAAGAAGACATCAACTAAGATCTTACAATGTGATTTTTATTGGCCTTCTTTATTTAAATATTGTGTAATATTTTGTAAGCATTGTGATAAATGCCAATGATTAGGAGTTGTGATCCATAGGAATATAATGTCTCTTGCCCCATACTTGTGATACAAATTTTTGACTATTGGGGTATTGACTTTATGTGTCCCTTTCCTATGACTTTTGGATATGCTTACATTCTTTTTGTGGTAAACTATGTATCTAAGTGGGTAGAGACTATTCCAACTAGAATTAATGATCACAAGATTGCGATCAAGTTTTTGAAAGAATATATTTTATCTAGGTTTGGGATACTTAGGGCAATAATCAGTGATGGTAGTTAACACTTTTGTAATATGTCATTTGCTAATCTCATGCATAAATATGGTATTACACACAAGTGTCCACAAGTTACCACCCACAAACTAATGGCTAAGCTGAATTGGTCAATAGGGAGATTAAACACATTTTAGAAAAGACTGTCAATCCAGTTATAAAGGATTGACCACTTAGGTTGAATGATGCTTTATATGCTTATAGGACTGCTTTTAAGACACCATTAGGTATGTCTTCTTATAGGTTAGTTTATGGAAAAACTTGCGATCTTTTAGTAAAGATGGAACATAGAGTTTATTGGGCCATAAAAACTTTGAACTTCAATTTGAAACTTGCTGGTAACAATAGAAAATTGGACTTGAATGAACTTAGAGAGATAAGAAGAGATGCATATGAAAGCACTCAGATTTACAAGGAGAAGGT